AGGGCCCAGCCCGTAAATTATGACCCAATAATCGATTAAAAAAAATTAATTTATCCATTTTTGTGTTCCCTCACTGCCATTAGGCACAATTTTCAAATGTTAGTTGAAATTCTGAAATAAACTCATTGTAAGTCAAAGCTTACGATAGATTACAAGAATTTATGTGCCCCAATTGGCCATAAAAGCTATAGAAGTTTATTAACATGAACAAAATGCAAAAAAGTAAATGGCTATAGGGAAATAGGTTTCATGCATATGTACTTTTTTCGATTTTTGAAAAGTACAGCTTTGAGAGTGCTTGTAAAGAGAAATTCCTTTTTAGATGCCCAGCTGCATGCCATTCCCGGTGACACGAGAATCTTGAAAGGCGATGTAAATAGCTCGTTCGAATTGAAAACTGTGCTACCGGAGCTTTATGACGTAAGATTTATAAGATTGATTTGTTGAAATAAAAAAAATGCAAAATTCACGGTGTTTGGAACACGCGTCACACGTTTGGTGCTCTTATTTCGGTCACGTTCACCTTCTTGCCGCGCAATTGCCAAGCACAAATCACGGCTCGAGAGAAAACATTAATAATTACTCAAATATATTAAGTACTTCCTGTGCGTTCAACAATATTTTCAATCGTTCAGGTAGTAACAGTTGGGAAGGAAGAAGTGCCATTAAAGGACGGGGATTGTTCTACGAGTCACTTTCAGTGCAAATACTCACAAAGTGAGCATTTTTCGCTAATGTTCATGCAAGTTGTAACTGATTTATTGTTCAAATAACTTTTACATATTTTTTTCCGGGATTGTAAAATCAAACTCGATAATCTTCAGTGCTTTTTTATGTATTACATATAATTTAATGGACGAATTTGAAAGTATTTGTATAAAAAGAAACGCTATAGCTAGCAAAAACCTCTTCTAATTCTGCTTAAACAGGTGTCTCCTACCATGTCGAGGTGTTGCTAACTGGGAAAATCTCACCAGATCTCAAATGGATTGTTTTTAAGACTAAAAACATGACATTTATTCCAATCACAATCGCTGTATTTCCCAATGGTCAGTGGGCGGATTCAACAGCTGGTGAGTTGTTCGAAATAGATGAATGGATGGAATGTCTTCTTGCCTGCTTTTAATTGGCTGAAATAAAGACCTTTTTTCAAATAACTTGTAGACGCTCTGGTGCCGAATGCCTCACAACCTTTTGTTGTACTGGCCCACAAGAACAAACTTGTTAAACTCCAATGCACTTTCAACGGTGTCAACCCAAAGGTACGTTTCTGAAACCTTAAGTGTTTTGGGCTACTGAAAATGCCATTCTGACAGTATTTGACAACTACACCTGACGTATATCATTCTAAACCAGCCGATCGGTGTTAAAATAGTGAATAGAGGACCACACGTAATCAGGAAGACAAATCCAGCCGCTGTGTTTAAATTCAAATGTGCAAATATACACCATTCAAATCTATTTAAAATAAAGAATTTACACGGGGTGATTAAGCCTGGTTAAAATAGTGTTTGAAACATTCTAAAAAGACCGAGACAATACATATAAATCCGTATGCAGCTCGTATCGTGGAAATCTACTTGTCAACTTACAGGTTCACTCTAGCTATAAACTCGAGGAATAACCTAGTTGAAACAACATTACTGCTAATTATCTGTCGGTAGTTTGGTTAAGTTGCTGCAGGTTCAGGACAGGCAAATGAGTGTCAAAATTTTTTCTAAAAATATCCGCCAACAGTGATAAAAACCCAATTTTTTAAATTGAACAGAAAAAGGTCGATGACGCACGTTCACCTGGATTTGTTTATTTTAGGTGCAAATATTGACATCCCTGTGGGGCAATGTCGTTTTCCAAACCGGAAAAGACCTTCAAGCAATTAACGAAACCGAAAAGTATCCTGAAATTATTAAAATCGGTGAGTTTTTTCATTTTCTTTGAAATACGAGCGGGAGGCGCATTTGGATTTGTAACCTCTAAATTTAACTCAATTATTCATTTTTAAATGTTCATAATGACCAAACCTTTTTATAAATGGTAAATTAGGATTTAAAGTGCATTTGTTCTGCACTTAGTCACGAAATTATTTATTGCATGGAACCTAAAATAAGCTTACCGAAATTTAAGGTACTTGGTGAGATCACGGCAACTTCACCTCATATTGTAGGATCTAGGAAATCACCCAGTTCGGTCACATACACAACGACCTTGAAACGGCGATTTCGTATTGACTACTTCGGGTGTTCGGACACAACCAACTGGATCACGTACATGGTCGAGTGGGGTGAGTTATTCGAGGCTCTTTCATGCAGCCGTGTAGGCTTAGCAGCAAAAATATTACTTAATTTTAAATTACGCTATCACTTGGCATAACATTAGTGAGAGATACAGCTCAGACTGCGAGTTATTTAGCTTGTAGATGAACTTGCGTTCTATAAAATGTCGAAGTCACTTAATCAGAAAAAATCAACAAGCACAAAAATGCGTCTGACTTAATGAGGGGTCATGAAATCATAATTTGCTTTAAAATAAAAAAGAAAAACAATTAATAAACAGTTAATTTGTTGGTTAACATAGTAATATTTTCTAAGAGTTTATATTTTCAAAATTGTAGAAAAATCGGGGTTCGGTAAGTTAACAACGTCAAGTTACTCAACTCGCACAAATTCAACTTATGTAAAAGGCAAACTTTTTAATCGTTTTAGGCCTGATCAAACCAACGTGGTTGTGCATTTTCTTGTGTGAGTTCCGTATTTGCACTATTACATGTTATTCGTCTATTTCTTGAATGAAGTTAAGATGAATCTGAATCGTTGCGCAATTTTGAATAAGAGTGATCAATTAAAAGGGGGTCAGCAGTAAACATGATACCTCTTGTTCATGATCCCATGAATCTGCACACACGGTACTTACTTAATAAGAAAGCTTTAACTCTTAACAAGTAGGGTATGGTTGTGTTAGAAAAATGAAAAAGTTTTTTTTTTATTTTAGGCATGGTGTGCACCGTTTTATCAACATCGAAGTAAACAACTTCACAAATTCAAGAAAAACTAATGATTTATTATTTATTATGTTCAATAAACCAATTTTACAGACTGCTATTTTCAAAATATGAATTAATAGAATTTTTATAAATAAAACAGGTTGCCAAAGATGTTTCATTGTTGAAACTAATTATTGATCTGAGAATCATGCCCATTACAATCAAAATTAGTGCGACCCTTCGCCCCAGTAAGTTAATATCTGTTTATAAAACCAGTTAAACACGTTCAAAAGCTCAGTGTAGGCAGAAAAATATCAGTAAATGAGCTTATAAGACCGATTGCATTAATTTAAGCTCACAAAGTGCCCTACTATATTTCCATTATCGGTTTAGAGACTCAAAGAAAAATTTTGTAGAATAGATTCAAAAATTGGTAAGAGGATTATTAGACATGCGATTAGTATCCAAAACGTGCTAGTACTTTTATTTGAAGAGAAGAAGGCTCATACATTATTCAAAATTTTTAACTGATTTTATTTGCACAAATATACGCCTTTTTGAATAATGTGCACGCATGATCCAATTAAACATACTTTCAGTTGCTCAAGCTAAATGGAAAATTTACGTACTAAGTATATTGAGATGCTTCGATATAAGAGAAAAGTTCCTTGCTTAGCTTTACGAGGTGTTAATTAATTAATCTCCTGCATGTCACACACAGATTAATGTAGAAATTACAATTCAAATTTAACGGTGAAATGAATTCGCAATTAGTAGGCCAATAGCGAGTATTGCTGCCTTTGCTTGCACATAATGTTTCGATTCGTCGAAAAAATCAACAAATGCTCATACGCCGACCGATAAGGATTTATTGAGAACGCGATTCCAATAGCCTCAAAACAAACTACTGTAATTATTGATGGAGCATATAAATGACTAGTATATGCAATAAAAACTGCTAGTCATATTTAAAAAGCATCAAAAGAACCACACTGTAATTTTTTACCACTGGCCATATTGATCATATTCGCTTTTAAGCCAAATTATGGTCAAGGATTAGAAAGGGTGTGAGCAAGGATATGCAATTTCGCCTATAAGCAGATATTGGCATTATCCAGTGAAACCATAAGTGCTATCCTTAAACGAAATGTAATTTAATCTATTTAATGTACTCAACATTCACTTTTGATTTTTCCACATTCAGTCGTCGTTATCATTGCACAATAATCGCGTTTAATAGACGATCACTTCACCTATATTTCTTTGAAATTAATAATAGATAGTGTAAAAGTCCGAAATATATAGGATATTGAAAATAAATTTGGTTGCTCATAAATCTGTTTAGATTACTTATGATCAATGAAGGATAAAATACCCCAGGTTTTTTGAATTATACAAGAATTAAATATCCGTAATTCTTTAAATTTTTATTTGTTTTAGGCAACATTGAGGTTCAATATTTCCACGACGAATGATAGCAGCACTTTAACACCTAGGCCTGCACCATTGGTTAGATATTCCGCTGAAGATAAAAAAGATAGTTTTGCATATTCTGTCATCGTTAAGGTGAATTTAATAGAATAATATAATTTTTTGATATATCGACGATCACAATCAGCTAAGTAAAAGCTCAAGAATATTGATGATGTGCATCATTTCGACTATGGACATGAGAAAGCACGATTATGTTTAAGTATTGGCACAGAAGAAATTTGCAGTCCTGGATTTCCTCGATTTATGAATATCTTTCCATGTTACACCACTTGTCGTAAGTGTTACTGAGATTTTACTTTTTAGAACCGAATTTTTGGTTCTATCAAGAGATGTAATTGCTTACATTTGCAACACTCTTAAGTGGAAATCCGTAACCTTTGATTATTTGTAATCGATTTCCAGCATCAACACTTTCAAATTTCGTGAAGCTGACCAATAGTTATAGCCCATCTGTTGTAATTGGTGGGGTTTATTTAGCCTAAAAGTTATCGTGTTGTGCAGTTTCTGACGTGTTGGCGTTTTTGTCATGAACATCTTCCGATTCCTGGGCGACTTTTCGCACTTTGTTGCTATAATTATCCTTTTGTTGAAAATATGGAAAACCCGTTCATGTGCAGGTATGTTGCTCTCCTTATCCCAAATTTATTAATTAGGTCTCTCTGGCAAATCACAGTTGGCGTTTGCGATCGTCTTTAGTGCACGATACCTAGACTTATTTACATCATTTATCTCAGTGTACAACTCAGTTGCAAAAGTCGTCTTCATTGTCTCATCTTTCGCTACATTGTACCTAATGTATTTCAAGTTTCGCGCTACCTACGACAGTAACCATGACACATTTCGACTCGAGTTCCTCGTTATCCCCTGTGCCGTGCTCGCTCTTATTATAAATCACAGATTTTCCGTTTTTGAGGTACGTAGCCATTAAGATTCTAACACTCAACTTTCAAGATTCTGTGGACATTCTCGATCTACTTGGAATCAGTTGCCATTCTGCCTCAATTGTTTTTAATCTCAAAAACAGGCGAAGCAGAGACAATCACATCTCACTACCTATTTGCGCTGGGTTCTTATAGAGCGCTATACATTCTCAATTGGATATACCGCTATTCCTTCGAAGGTTACTTTGATTACATCGCCGTTGTAGCCGGTGTCATTCAAACGCTGCTTTATCTTGACTTCTTCTACTTATACGTTACTCGAGGTAAGTCTTATTCAAGAATTAACCACCCCCTCACTATTTTTAGTACTTAAAGGCAGAAGCCTCAGCCTTCCTGCATGAACACAATTTAACTTGACTTTAACCGACGCTTTCCGGTCGCGGTTTTTTGTGAGCAATCTTATTGTACTTATTTGCTGCTTGGTTGTTACAAAATCTTACCTCCAACCGTAAATGTAATTATAATGGCTTCAATTTCTTTGTTACGTTTCGTTCATTACAAAATTCTTCCTAGTACGATCATGTCGTGGTGTCATTCGGTATAATTTTTCCATAGATTGGATTCTTGATTCAGTAAATTTCCAAATAGGTACACCTGACATGTGCCTACCTCATGTGTTCTATAATGTTGCGACGTTCAATATTTTCCTGGGAATCCCTTTTGGTTTTTCATTCGAAAAACGTTTTTTATTGGAGACTTATCATGGGTATAAATCGCCTCATTCGAACAAGAAAGAATTTTCTTAGTCAGACACTTTCTCTGCTTACAATCGTGGTAGCTGACGTCAGATGTAGCAGAATACATTTGCCGTTACGATCATATAGAGCTATTTAGGCAACTGGAATCAAGTTCTCTTTTGTCTAAAGATATGGCTTATGCGAAACCTGCTGGATCGGGAAATTAAGCATCTAACACCAGTGCGTTTCACACTAAGTTGTGTTTAATTGACACATTGGTCTGTTTATTTAGTGTTTGTTCATTGCCACACTTAGATTTTCATTAATGAGTGGGTACAGCATCCTCTTGCACACGTACCGAGGCATGACGATTTCGGTTAACTTTGAGGCCATGAAATGTCTAGTTGCAAAAGTAAACTCAACTTCGTAGTCAGTGAAGAACTTTTTGTTTATCTGTCTTCTTGGCGAGTATCATGCCTTCCATTGGCAATAACTTGTCTTGGGCTATGTGCGGCTTGACTTGTAACATAAGGGGCTTAAATTTAGCCTTTTTCGTGATATTTTGAAATCCAGCAGTTCGTATTACCTTGGCATCTTCAACAATGATATGCATTTTAAATACAGAAACCCCTTTTCGTAGCTAACTCATGCCATTGTTTTACGAAGTGAACTACTGCCTTGACGTATTGTACCGTAAACTGTGGTTGTGCTGTTTTAACTCCGTTTTGGCAAATATATACGTCCTGTTTACCACCTGAGTGTTGCTTTTTGCCAAATTTGGAGCCAAGTCTTGGAGATGTTGGGTATTCTACTTACCTCAATTCAGGTGAAAATACGAATACTGCTGATAACGTTTGACTTTTGCGAGACCCCAACCATTGCATGTTTGCAATCAACCTTACCCTTGTCGGGCTTGGTGTGTTGTGCATTCTCACTTCCGCAAATGCCAGTGCAGTGTCGCGACAACTTAATCGAGTGGGTTTTTCAGGGTGTGTGTTTTGGGTGATACGTGTAGTTAGCAGTTGTGTGGCATTCGTAAATGTAAATGTAAACGGGCACGCGAAATGCACAAGACCACAGCAAATCTGCTCATTGAACAACGTCGTGCGTTTGCCGCGAAAATGCCATTTTACTGTGAACGATGGCTCTGCTGGTCTTGTCTTTTCCGATATGGTCAAAAAATAATCGAGAATTGCAATACAATCAGTGGGTTTAACGAAGTATAGCATCTGGTGAATCGATTAAAAAGGTTTTGGTATTGTTAGTGGAAAGTCAATACGCAAAATTGTCAATCTATCAACAAGGCTGGGACATTCCATTTGAAAAACTGCTTCAATGGGGATGTCTTGGAGTAGCCATTTGCCGTGGAAACTCCAACACTTTTGCAGTCTTTCTTGGTGATAGTCGATGATTCACCACAAGCCAAAAGGTGAAAGAAATCAGAACCACCAATCTTGCTTTGGTCAGCGATTCGCTTTGAGGGAGGACTCCTGGGTGTCATTTGACGAAGAAATTCTTCTGGGAAATCCTAAATTAGTGAAATGCATGCCAGACGTCCTAATTTAATGTGTTCTCCCTCAAGACATAATTTGGTGGTCTGTCGTCAATGAGAATCCTTGCATTTACTGATTTGCTGGTATCCATTCAAAGAAGAAGATGGGTCAAACCTTTTTGGGACAAACACAAGCGTAAACCTCCGTCATATCCTGTCCATCGGAGTCGGCTATGTTTGCGCCACTCGTCCCGTAGTGCCTGCCATCCATCTCTGTCTCCAGTCGGCCGTTGGTCTTCAAAACATGTCATTCAAATTCGCAAATCAGCACATCTACTGCTTTACTTCTTGTTCATGGGCTGGTGCTCGTCTTCCTGAATGTGTTTACCGGTCCTGTACCCAAATTAATCAGTTTAAGTACGGCAGTTGAGCGTACTGCTCTGTCTCAAGACAATCAGAACAGTTTATCCTAGATAATAAATGTTACTGATAAATGAAAGTAAGAAGACAGTCAAATGAACCTAGATTCAGCTACTGGCGATACCGGGGTTGCTAGAATTCATACTGAATATCTACCAACTTGAGCGCATATTTTACCTGAAATCGGGCTAAAATATATTGAGTGATGAGGTGACGTGAATGCACTTCTAATTATTCGCAAATTAAATAGGCTGACTTGAGTCCACTAGAGCATTTCTCAAAGCTTGAACAACTACATGAAGATTCAACTGGTGAACGAAATAGCTGGCAAGGTGTGTGCGCCAAATAATCGGTCGACACAGTGTTACCTCATGGCTGTTCCCTTGTGCGTCATTCATCGAGTTCAAATGATCGTCATTAAACGCTCATCTCACGCTTAAGCCCATTTATTATTCCCTCGTCATGCAACACGCCGGAAAATACCACTTCCCAAACGACGGAAAACCGTTCGGCCACTCCAGGGGAGAATTTGTGCGATGAGTGGGGCGGCATGGTGCACAGGCATTCATCAGGCGTCAGGAAGTGATTATTGCAAATTTGCAATTCACGAGATCATTGGCCAGACGAACAGCCGCGCTTTTCAAAACTCATGTTCACCAGAACGTTTGTCTGTAGCTGCGTCATTAACAAGGTCTTATGGCAGTGATTGAAAAGGCACACAATGTTTAACGATCGCGCGTAAATCACATTGGTTGAAACAAATAAATCACGGCTTGTATTAACCTGACAACCGGTTTACCACGTTTGATATGGACTTGTACTTTGGAGAGCGCCAAACACATTGGAACCAAACCACAGTTCGCGTGAGCTGTTGGTTTAGGAAATATATGTCAGTCGAATTCGGCTTTCGTCGATGTCATTACAGTGAACTGAGTGACGGTACGCCGTAATTGCAGTTTCTCGTACTCGCAAAAAATCGTTTCTGCACTATTCAATGGGCTTACTTGAGTCCACCAGAGCGTTTCTCAAGGCTTGAACGAATTCGGGTGGCAGTGGCGTCAAATTTATTCACACCAACTGTCCCATGCTGTAAATGTTTATAAATTTGCGCTATAATGGATCAGTCATTAGGAAAGGGGTGGAGTTAGCAAGTACCCTGAATGGCACAGTAAAAGTGAAACTGTGCCTCTGTGGTGTTGAAAGTTTGTTTGAATTAACTGGAATGCGAGCATCGAGCAGGTGACTTGTTGCAGTGGACATTTTGATTTCGCCAAAAAATCATTACGAATGAGTGACTTTAGGCAATCGCAGTTATCCTGAACTAGAAATATTACGACAATAGGTAGAGTAAACGATAAATGTATACAACGAATAGAGTCCTTACTACTATTGGAGATTTTGAATAGTGTTCCAACAAAACCAGTATGGTATAACAAGGGGTTTTACGGAAATAACATGACAAATGTCACACATGTGGAAAATCTCATTAAGCTGCATCCAATCCCTTCTCATTGAAATCAGTTGGGATTTAAACTCAATAATTTACAATCGAAAATTGTGTAAAAGCATAGTAGTTTCCCTGAAGTTACTGGTCAACAAACTATGAAGACTGCGAATTCATCATTCAATGGATAAATTAGGGCATGCAGAGTCATCGTTTTCGCAACCATCGTTGACTTATGTCTGCTGCCTACATTGTCATCACTTCGCTACTGTGTGCTGCGGTTCTGCCTCAGTAAAAGCTGTCTTAAGGAAGGCTGGTGATTGGTTAGTGGTCACCTGGGCAACCGATGGCGTTGGAAAGGCATTCTGTCAAAACCTCGCCGGAAATTGGCTTCAATATCCTTCTCATCAGTCGTTAGCTAACCAAACTCCTAAATACTCACTGTCGGTTAGCAGTTGGATCGGTTCAATTGAGGCCTGAGTGCATGAATCCTCTGTACAAACATCAGCCAATGGGCATCGAGGTGAAGGTCACAGATTGCCGTAAGCATCTTCAAAGGCCTTTCTCAATGAAGTCGAGGAGGTGAAGAGAAACTAGATGCATCATAAAACAAAATCAAATGAAATGAGATGTGTAGCATTTACCTTGCTAATCTTATCTGTTGATATCGGATGGCGGTGGAATAAGAGTGCAAAAACTGTCACAAATCTGTAATTGTTTATGCACTTACACCACACTGGGTCCAGAGTTAATTACTTGCCAAAACGAAGTCAACTAGGATTGCGAGTCGACAAAAGTGCATGTCGCCATCATTGAAAGGGTTAGTTGTCTCTGTGGTGTTAAAAATTTGCTTTTTGACGGGGAAATGCTAAAATTATAATTGGTAGTAGTTAGTTAGATTTAAACAAAAGTGGCATAAGTTGGAAAACTGCGTAAGACGTTTACTTAAGCCCAAATATATCTCGATTTGAATCAAACCAGAGCGAGAGCGAATAATTATTGGATGCGCTTGTTTATGACATCTCCGAATGTCAGGACCAGTTGAACGTTTTTAAAGTAATTTCTAAATTCTGACTGAAAAGGACAAATGCTGGCGCTTCAGGAGGCAAGGGATCGACGTGTCAACGTGAGTTTACATAGCAAATATGAAGCAAATTGAATAAAATGTCAGATTCCGATACCTAGGTGTGATTAAGATTCAACAACTTCGGTCAGGGAGAAACGCACGCGCTTGATGCCATATTTCTTAACAAAAATCCACAGGGTAAAAGTCAATAGCA